TGTGCGCGTCCTGGAGAAGTCCTGTTTTTGCTGGAGCTGGTACTTTTATGAAAAGGACCATTCAGTTCTCGACGGGGAGGGTGGGGTACGTTTTGCAGGACCAGGGGCGGGCATAGGTATTGTTGTGGTGCCGAGGAAGGGAAGCCAGCGCGCGGGTGCGACCCCAGCCCCTGCTCGCGGGGACGGGCCGTTTAACTGACCCCCGCGGGCTTCAGTTTCCTCGGCTCTGACATTGGGGAGCATAGCAGGAGGCCGGGCGGGACTTTAAGAATCTATGTAAAACACTTGAACGGTGCCCAGTCCATAGTAAACAATGCCTAGGCATCTGGTATTAGCATTATTATTAGCAATAGCAGTATTTAACAAAAGGGGGGGGGGGCAGAAATCAAGATTTAAGAAGGAGACTTTATTTTTTTTATTTTTTTTTTTACCTCGCTTGTAGCAAGGATTACTATTAAACTCCACTCGCTGGGCCAGAGCCCCTTGTGGTGTTTTGGAAAAACTTGCCCCTTGGGCAGCAGGCTTCCTACACTTGGGAGTCTTAGCAGCCACCAGTGGCCTCAGCTCCACGCTCTAGCAAGTGTGCATAAGGCGGAGACCTTAACTAGTCTTGCTGTCTCCTCTCCTCTGTTTATGTCGCTTGTATCCTTGCCTCGCAGGTAGATTTGACCTTAGTTTTCTGTTCTTTGCCAAAAACTGAAATGGGCTCCTAACCAAATTTTGGCTGTGTCTGCTTCGCCAGCCGTCCAAGTCCATAATGGCTATCATTGTTATTATTCACACAGTTTAAGATGGCCAGTGATGTTATTAACCGTAATTACTCCTGACCTTTTGTCCTGCATTTGTGTGGCACTCCGCATTTTCATGATGCCTCACAGCCACTAATTGTATGGGGAGGTGTGTGTAAGATGGGTTTACCTAGAGTCATTTCCATTTGATGATACCTGTCTTTCTATAGTTATTATAAACACAATACAATATATGTTTTACTCTAGATTAATAGCAATATTTAGGATGATGATTCATCTACCTGATGTCTAGATTCCAAGACATGCAAGTTGGGCTAGAATTGTAGCTGAGTAGATAGTGTTATCTCCTAGTCTTGTCCCAGGATGCCTGTCGTGGCACCAAGGTTATCACCTGCCTTATGCATGGGTGGAGTTGAACCTACCTCAACAAAGTGTGATTTCAGAAAGCGTAGCAGAGGCTTCCCTTGGCCTCCAAAACCAACCCATTGAACTCCATCATTCATTACGCCTCAGGGTTAACTTCTTCTCTGGATGAAGTTTAATCAGGGAAGACAGAAAAAAATCCATAAAACTGAAATTCAATTGGGATGGAGTTGAAAAAAGAGATGGACAGAGGAACTTTCAAAGTTTGGCAGACTTCTGGTTAAATATGTGGGTTGAATTTAGCAATATCCCCTCCCCAAATGCCATTAAAATTAAGAGGATTTTTCAAGGTATAAACCCCAAAAGACACATAAATTAAGAGAGGGAATGATGGCAACAAAATTTTGAGAGTTGGAAAGTTTCTGTACAGGAGGTAAGTGATGTGGCTGACCTAAAAAAAAACAAAAAAAACTGAATCCTAAGAAAACCAAGAACCAGAGTGGTATATTAATACATTCACAGAACCTCTGAATGGCTCAGGAAGTGGTGGCTTTAGGCCCTGGAAGTGGAAATAATAGTGGGACCAGAAATAGCAGAATGACGTGGAAGTTTGTTTAGAATTGGATACCCTTCCCCGCTCCACAAGGTTGTTGGCTAAACTGCCCCTGTCCCACCCTGGTGTGAGATGAGTGCCAGATTGGGGGGAAGAAGAGGAGTGAGTGACAATAGGCCTTGTAAATATTGAGATACATGCCCCCAGCCCTCTTCCTCCCCTTGGCTCAGAATATCCGCATCAGGCTGATCTCTCCAGGTAGAAGACAGGAGTCCTCCCTGGAGAAGCTGAGAGACCAAACGAGTGGGCCTGAGGATCCTGCCGAGGGGACCCAGGCAACTCTGCAGCGCGGCCCTCAGCTGACCAGCTCGGTCCACATGCCCAGAGCTTCAAACCCTTTTGTCATGTTCTCTTTGAAATAGGATCAGACAGCCTGGGGTCACCAACAGTTTGAAGAAAGCTTGTAACATTAATTATAGAGACCAAAAGAAGAAAAAAAAACAAAAAAAAAACAACAAAAAACAAACAGAACAAAAAGGAAACTTGGAAGAAACAGAGTTGCTTACATTGAACAGATAGGGACAGGTAGGGAAGAAAACTTAAACAACAACAAAAACAAAACAAAACAAAAGCACACTGCCATTAATATTCCCTGGGAGCTGAAAGAAGATACTGCATCAGTGAAACATAAATGTTATTTTTTAAAAGCACCCTTTAGAGAGCATTTAGAAGTCAAGAATGTGATTAGAGAAATTTAAAAACAACATAAAAGCGATGGAAAATAAACTTGAAAAAAATTTCCCCAAAACTAGAGCAAAAACGCTATAGGGATGAAAATTAGAGGGCCAGTCCAGTAGATCCAACATCTGAATAACTGGAGAGAACAGAAAGAGGAAATCACTGAACTAATAATTCAATATAATTTTATAGATCGGAAAGACATGAGTATCCAAATTGAGGGAGTTCATTAAATACCAAGACAATGAATGAGAACAGACTCACACTGGTGGCCGTTACGGTGAAATTTCAGAACACTGGGTTCAAAGAAAGATCCTGTAATACTTGTAATGAGGGAGGAAAAAGAAAGGGAAACAAGTTTATACAAAGAATCAAGAATCATAAGGACATTACACTTTTCAACAACAGCAGCGGAAGCGAGAAGGCACTGGGGCAATGCCTTCAAAATTCTGATGTAAAATAACTTCAATGTAGAATTCTGTACTCGGAACCGTCCATTAAGTAGGAGGGTGGAAGAACTCATTTCAGATGTGCAGGGTGTGGAGAATTTTTCTGCCTTGCACTCTTTCTCAGGAAGCCATCAGAAGGTGTGCTCCACCCAAACTCAGGAGTAGGCCAAAGGAAAAAACCAAAAACAAAAAAAGATGAAGGAACTAGGTAACGGAGCCCACCATAAGAGGGAGACGAAAGAAATTTCTAGCGTGATGGTGAAGCAGAACCCCAGGATGACAACTGTGCGTCAAGCTGCGATGGCAAAGAACCAGCCCAGAGAGGAGCAGGTCAGAAGAGATTTCCTCAAGAACATGAGGCTGATAGATGGAATATCCATGAGTCTGAGCAGATTTACAATAGAGGAGTAGGGTTTGATGTTGGATTAGTGATAAATACAGAGTAAACTAAGCAAAGAAGAAAAACCGAGATCATTATGAACACCAAGGAAAATAAAATACTGTGCAGGAACAAGTAATCATAGGATGTGTGGCTCAACTGTAACCAGTGTTGACATGACCGTAATAATGTAAACACTGATCTAATTAAAATTGTGATAATGCTCTGTTGGGGAGATGAGAGGATGGATCTGTGGTGGAGATGGGGGTGGGGGGATGAGAGAGAGAGAGAAAGCTAAATCCTCTGTAGCGGGGAAACATTAGATACTGTTTAAAACAGAGATATCAAGAAGTAGCATGCATATTATTTAAAGAAAGGAAGTAATAAAAGAGCCCACTCAAAGTGCGGACAAAGGTTGCCTGTGTGGAGCAGGAAGTTAGGGTTTTTGGAGGAAGAACAGGGGCCCTCGTGACAAACCTTGTAAAACCTCTTGGCTAAAAAATATGCGGTTGTCACTGGTAGGCCCACAGTTTGTTTGGCGGGAGGAGAAGCTAGAGGCAAGAAACCATTTTTGGTGCTTGCCACTTTGGTTACACTTCTTGGGGTTCAGTGGCCTGGGGCATGTCAAGATATCCCTTCCATGTGAAGGACGAGCTGCCATCTGTCCCCCTGCTACTACAAAGAAAGAGGTACAATACCTAGTAGGCCTCTTTGGAATTAGGAGGTAAAATATACCTAATTTTTGCGTGTTACTCTGACCCATTTCCCCAAGTGGCCCAAAAAGCTGCCAGGTTTGAGTGGGGCCCCAAAACAATACAAGGTATTATATCAGGTCCAGGCCGAAGTATAAGTTGCTCTGCCCCTGGGCCATATGACCAAGTGGTTGCATTTCACTTCACTGGATAAAAAACAGGTTGCAAGGTCTGTCCTGGGGAGAGAGGAGGTCACCAAACCTTAAGATCAGCTAGTTGAAAGACCTCACTCTATAGATGAGGAAACTGAGGTAGGCAGGCTCCAGCATGTTCCCCAATGGTCCCCGCCCCTTGATATTCACACCCCTGTGTAGTCCTCTCCCCCAGTGCACCGGGGTTAGTTTACATGAGCAGTGGAATGCAGCAGAGGTCGTGTTGCTCCTGAAATTAGGTTGTCAAGGATATTGCAGCTCCTGTCCTGTCTCACTCTTGGATCGCTCACTATGGAGGAAGCCAGCTACCAAACCATGAGCAACCCCATGGAGAGGCCCACATGGTGAGAAACTGAAGCCTCTTGCCAGCAGCCATCTGAGTGAGCTTAGCAGATCCTCCAGCCCCAGTCGAGCCTTAAGATGACCGCAGCTCTAGCTGACATTTTGATTGCGACCTCATGGGAGTCGCTGAGCCAGAACCAGCTAAGCCACTCTCCAGTCCCTAACCTACAGAAATTGGGAGATCATACATATTTGTTTTAAGCCACTACGTTTGAGGTAATTTGTTAAGGAGCAATACATAAGTGATACTGGGAGTTTTCGTAACTTACTCAGAGTCACAAAGCTAGTTAGTGGCTGACTTCCAATGAGAACAGAGGGCTCCTTACTCAACATAATGTCACATTGTATTCTGGTGTATTTTGGATTTCTTTTGTACCGGACACACATTGATTCAGGAGGTGTTGGTCACTATCTAAAAATTCTGTTTTTTCATAGGCAAAATGAAAACTGGGCCTTTCTTCCTCATGGAATGCAGAAGCTCATTCAGTAAGGTAAATGTTTACTTTGCCCTTACCATGTAGTAATGCATACGCATTTCTAAACTATGCTTATATCTTTTTCCCACAATTTCTGGAAGGATGGAGATGACTGATTCAATTTTGTGCAATAGCTTAGTGACAAAACCAGGAATGTAATTTCTACTTGAATTCTTTTAACTGCTTGACAAGAATGTCATAGAGTACCCAGGATTAGTTAAATCATTTAAATACTTCAGTGACTCTGACCTTCCTGTGCAGTGAATCAGTGGCAGGATCTAGTGTCTGCATTTCTGTCTGTTGTCTCTCAGTGTGATATTCAGAGAAGGGCGGATGACCAAAAAGGCACTTTGTGGCTTCTATTTCCCTGCCCTAGAGTCTGCCATTTGGATGCATATGACTATTATGTTAGAGTTTTGTGTGCTCTTTTTTTGGGTCTCAGCTTTTTAAAATGTAATTATGCAATATCCTTATTTTTTCCTTCCTTAAGAGTATAGCTAGAAAAGTAGGGGGATGGAAGTAGAAAAGTGGGTTTGGGTTTCACTAGAACATGGATATTTTAAAAAATTAATCTCACATGTGTTCGAGGCTCCAATTCTATTAACTCCACAAAATTTCAGGTATATTTCCAGTTATTCCTCATTACAGTCAGTAAGTTAATTTGCTTTCATATATGCCCAGCATTAGGGAGATTCTTGAATGTTTTTGTATTTTTTTGTTACTATTCTTGAAATAAAAAGATTTGCCAGCTATCCCCTAGTATCACTTAGTCTCTTGATGGTCAGAGAAAGATAATTTTCACTCCCTGGACATTTTAGCACTTCACTGATTATAACCCAGCTAATTATGTATGGCTTGAAATAAAATGCTATTTCATATTTTATATTAAATAGGTTAGCGATCAACGTGTAGTTTGAATTTTGTTTTATAAAAACTCAGCGCTGTTTTGTATAATCAGCAAAAATAATTGAACTAAATCGTGTCCTTAATTAGTGACGGTACTAATTTTTCTAGCTGTTCTGCTTGTTCAGAAAATTCTATGTTCCTCATCAAACTCGTTTATAAATTCCTTTGATTGTGATGACCCCGTACATGATTTTCAGTAAGAACTCACTCGTGCGTTCAGTCCCTCCTTCATTCGACGTCCATTGGGTCCTTAATATGTGCCGGGTCCTTTTATCTGGGCGGGGGTATGGGAGTGAGTAAACCATGCAGAGCCCGGTTACCGCGGCCCTTGTGTTGCAGCGGGGGAAGAGTGTCAGTCAGCAAATAAACAAAATAGACACAGAATATGTCAATGGTGATTACATGCCAGGGGGACAAATAAGGCAGGTCAGAGGACAGAGAGTGGCAGACCTGAATGAGGCATGTGTCAAGGGCACAGCAAACGATGCCTAATGCGCCGGGAAATAGCCAGGGGACTCGTGTGGCCGTGGCAGGGTCAGCAAAGGGGAGATGAGGTCCGCGGGGAGGTGAGGGGATAGATCCCGTGGGGAAGCAAGGGCCAGGTCCCGCACAGGCCAAGGGGAGGGGTTTAGGCTCAACGCGACCCCTTCCCACTCTGTGTGAAGGATGTGTAGGAGTGTCACTGTCCAGTTAGGAGACTCTGCTAGTTTGGGTCCTCAGAAAAGCCAAGCTGAGATGAAATGTGGTGGGAGGTTGATTAAGGGGCAGCTGCAAGGGGACATGGAGAAGGCGCCACTGGAGGCCCGGAGGGTCCTCACACCGAAGTGCAGGTCTGACCCGGGTGCAGGACAGGAAGAGGAAAGGAGGGTTGCATGGAAGAGTGACACTGCGATGTCACTCGATGAAAGCCTGGCAGGGCCAGTGGGGAGTCCTTGAGCCAAGGTCGCCCATCAGAGAAGCCCCCATCTCCCAGGAGTGGGCCTGCCCGGTGTCCCTGCCGTGCGTCCTTAGCTGGAAGCAGCCCTTGGGGAGTGCGCCTCAGCGAGAGCGCAGGGTGGGTGCAGGGCGCAGCAGCTGGGCCCCCAGACGGCTATGCTCGCCCACGGGAGACCTGAGAGGCTCGTTCCCATGGCCGTGACAGGGACGGTCGCCCTAATCCAGGTAGGAGGGATCACGGTTAAGGAAGCAGGTGAATTCTGACGTGTATCTTCATCCAGATGTGTTGGCAAGGGTAAGCTGACTTCTTTTGCCAATAGATGATGCGGAGTGTGTGGAGTGTGTGGAGGGAGAGGGGACAAAGATGCCACCAAGGACTTTTGTTCTGTGTATCAGGAGAGTGGAGTTGCCATTTGATGAGATGGGGGAGACTGTGAGAGTCTTATCCGAGGGGAATCAGATGTTTTCAGCCTGAGATGTTGATTAGACCCCCCAAACGGGGATATTGGGAAGGCAGCTGAATCCACAAGTCTGGAGTTCCATGGAGCGTTCCAAACTGGAAATACGAATTTGAAAATCATCAACATGGGGATGGCAGTTAAAGTTCTGGCACTGGGTTAGTTTACCCACCTGGCACCATACATAGTTATTACAATGGTATTGACTATTTTCTCTATGTTTTACTTTACAACCCCGTGACCATTTTATAACTACCAGTTTGTACTTTTTTAATACAATGCCTGATAAAGACATTGTAAAAGTGCCATGTGGCTTTTCTTGCCACCTGTAGGTGGCAGTCTAATCAAATAATTTCATGGGAGCTGCTTGGCAAATCCAAGTTTATTTATCCTGTATTGTTTAATAAGACTACTAATATAGATATATATATATTTAAAATGTGTCTTTATTGATTTCAGAGAGAATAAGGGAGGAGAGAGAGAAATATTTTATTTTAATAAAATTTAAAATATCATAAATAATATATGGAAACAACATTTAAAATATCATTATAAATAACATGTAAAATAACACTAGTACTTGATTCAGGCTTTCAAACCATTGAAGGAAAGACATTTATTCAAATACTTGTTGGTTGTGTTTCATGAGAAGTGGTTCTGATGCCACCAGTGACCTCTAGCCACTGCCATTGGGACTCTTCTGGCGTCCTGAGAGGTGCGTGCACAAGCAGCCCTCCAGGCAATTGCATACCAGCTACTTCTAGCTGAATATTTCGTCCCTCATCCTCTCTGGTCTTTGCCCTCATCTCCCGTAAGGAATTTTCCTGAACTGCTCACTATCCTCTCTCAACTCTGAACCCTGCCCTGTGCAGTGTGACCTTGGTTGCTCTACAACTTACACCAAAACTCCTCCCTCCCGAAGATGAGGTGGTGAGGAGAGAAGTCCTGGCTCCCCTTCCTGTGTTCGAGTGTGAGAGTGCTTACACACAGAATCGATGTCCTGGAAACTCAGCAGCCTCAGCGCTTTTAACCTGTGAATAAAAGTCACTGCTCACTGGACGGCAGCTTGGGAGCCGCCGTTAAAAAAATCGACACAACCTGCATCCCCAGCCATTTTATTTCTAAGTGTGTTTCCTAGACATATCTTTGCAAATAATCATACATAAAGGGACACATTCAAGGAAATTCAGTGTAGCATTGCTTGTACCAATGAAATAAAATAACATAAATGATCAACGAAGGAAAAATGGTGAACTAAACAATAATGCCTCATACGATGGGATATTTCCGTACTACGCAGCAAAGAGTAAAATAGACCTATGTGCATTAATATGGAAAGGTCTTTTATCAAATTCTTAAATGAAAACAGCAATCTGTAAAAAAATTATATCTCTGTGTATATCTATACATGCAACACAATGTAGATAGGTATGTAAACAAAGAAGAAGGGCCTGGAAATTGCAAGCAAATAGCAGTGATTGCCCCTGGGGAAGAAAGTTGGACTTGGGCAGAAGTTGGATTAAAGTAGGCTTTTATTTTGTTTCGGAATTTTTTTTACAATGTGGATCTATTGATGTGCTACTTATATACTTAAACATTTAAGAGAAAGCGACAAGGAAGGCAAGAAGGCGTGCAGGGGCACGCAGTGGTTAGTGCCGTGGTCCCTGGAATCAGACCCCCCTACCCAGGTTGTAGCAGCCACTTCTGTAACCTCTCTGTGCTTCACTTTCCTCCCCTGGAAGTGGGGGACACAGTAGTGTCTCCCTCAGAAGGTGCTTATAAAGATGAAACAAGATGATGTGTGTGAAGTACTGGGCACCTAGTATGAGTTATGTGGGTGTCAACTAGTGTTATTGATTAAGGAAAGAATAAATCACTGGCGATTCCACTTTAGGCCAAGAAGAATTACTACTTGATTCATATTTTGGCACTTGTGAGACATCTGGAAATATACTTAAAAAAATCCATGTCAAACAGCCCAGGAGTCGAGGCTTCTACGGTCGTGCTGTTATCTAGTCATCCTGAAACAAAATGCAGTCCAATCAACATTAATATCAAACACCACACTGTCTCAATATGGTATAATTTGGGGCGTCACAGTTGTGTGACATGAAGATCACCTGTGTCGGGTTATGCAGGCCGGAGCCCTAGTCTCCTTTCAGGTGATGTCCACTTTTGTTCCCCACTGGTTTGCATCAGTGTAATCTGCTCATCAGGACTTGACATCGCTCTGACCCTATTAGCAAGAGCTCTCTGCCTGTATATTAGAAATATTGTTTGTATTAGAAGCTTCTATTCCAATTTTTGTAGCATAATATCGAATCTTAGTGATCTGGAATTTTGTCACAAAATACAGACCAGATCATTTTTCTTCACGTCACATAGGAGTTCGCTACACGCGCAGAGCAGAGACAGATGGAGCAGCTCAAGCGTATCAGCAGCATTGCCAGCGTCGGCTGCAGGCTCCTTTGGTGAGATTTAACGTATCTCAACAATGACTGCGAGGGCTCGTAAACGGTGTGTCCTCAGTACTCCCATAGATTCGTCGTAAGTGAAACAGCAGTGGGAACTTCCGGCGGGTACTGTGCGCATCCTGACCACCTGTGGTGTTTGGAACAAGCATCCAGTATTTCTTGGATGCCTCCCCTCTCTCCTGGGACTGTGGAGACACCGGCCAGCAGCACATACTTAGTCCCTGACGACTGGAATAAACCAGTTGCCGCTCACCATCCCTCAAATGTTCCATTCAGTGTTCCGTAAAGATCCGTCCTTCTCAGGTGGCCTGAGTATGTTGTGTTTCTGTTTTGTTTTGAGGTCACTGGTTCCTGGGGTGGATGCCTTTGGACAGCTAGTACTTTTCGGCCTGACTCCTGTCGGGACTAGAATCTGTTCGTACCTCCGCCTTGATTCTTTGTACTGATTTCCTTTAATGAGCCTACCTCTGAAATATTTAACATCCTTCGGATCTATATTTCTACACATGAAATATTTAACGTCTCCGCTCTGCTCTGCCAAACCCTGCCACGGGCCTGCATCTCTAGATTAGACACCTTTCACGTTTTGAATTCTCGCCTGGGTCTGGACGTGATTACTCACTCCTGTCTTTTGACTTTTTCTCTCCAATTTCAGTCCAGTTTTCCTCTCACTTTCCCCCAAGTTCCTGCCAACTGCTGTGTGACTTTTCCAGCATGCTGCATGACCAGCCTCTCACTCCCTGCTTCAAACTAACAGTTTCATTGTGTTAAGGCTCCCACATAAAAATCAGTAAAGCATTTACTATTTACTAAAGGGTGGAATAGAAACCATTCAAAACATAATTCCTAAGGAACTGACTGATATCAAGCACAGCAGTATGCTCCACCTCTAATAGCCTTTTTAACGTGAGGCCACTTAAATTTCTTAGGTGTGGGCACAGTCAGGAGATTGAGATAAACTGAACACAGGTTTCAGAATAGGACAATTAGATTGGTGTCCTTAAACATTCATTCAGAAGCTCCCTAAATAAAAATAGGTCCCTAATGGGGATATAGAGGGATAGGATCCACACAATGTGCCCATTATTAACCAAGTAAAAGTAACCACTTGCTCACTGGTCTGTATTAAAAAGTTCTCTCATATACATAATTGTACCTGCACTTCACAATAACCTTGTAAGGTAGATATTATTTTTATTATGTGCATTTTGATTCTAGCAAATAGTAATTTTATCAAATATTTACCATATGCAAGGTCATATGATAATATATTTAACATTCATTATCTCATTGAATCCATAAAAGATCCCAAAGAGGAAGCAACTACTTTTCAAGGATGAGGAAATTTGAGGTTTATAAAGGCTGTGCCTAAGAATACAGGTGTAGTAAGTGAGAGAGCTAGGATTTAAAGATGCTAAGCTCTTAATCATAAAGTTTGGAAGTTAAATGACTTGCCCAAGGCCTCCCAGCTAGGACATTTGGGACTGGAATTGAGCCCAGGGTTTATGATAATTTATCATTCACTTTTTAAAACTTTATTCACATAGCATACAATTCACCTATTTGAATTGTAAAATTTAATGGCTTTTAGTATATTTACAGAGTTGTGTCTGCTTTTGTCAGCTCAGGCTACCATAACAAAACACCATACACAGACTGGGTGGCTTAAACAAGAAAAATTATTATTTTGCAGTTCTTGAAGCTAGAAGTCGAGATCAAGGTACCATGGTGGGCTTCTGCTAAGAGCTCTTTCTGGCCAATAGATGGCAGTATTTTTTTTAATCCTCATTGGAGGATATTTTTTTCCTATTGCTTTTCAGAGAGAGTGGAAGGAAGAGAGAGAGAGAGAGAAAGAGGGAAATCTAGTGTCTCTTCTTATAGGGTCACTAATTCCATGATGAAGGTCCAATCCTAATAACCTCATCTAAATGAATTATCTCCCAAAGGTCCCATAGCCAAACACCATCACACTGGGGAGTAAGACATTAACATAAATTTGGGAGGACAATATTCAGTTCAAAGCACCTCACTTCCCAGGCCAAAGGCCCCACAGTGACTAATAAGTATCCTCTGTTCCAATCCAAATTCTCTAGAAAGAGAGCTGGATGAGCAGCCTGGGTCAGGTCCTCACTCCAGCCAGCTGTGGACATAACAGAGACTGCTACGTAATTGTGTTGTTGTGTGGTTTAAAGAATTCTGTTTAATAAAAAAATTTACCATTCAAGTATTTATCCCTAAATGATATATTCTGGTTTGGCTTATCTTCCTTCAAAGTTGTTATTCTCTGTTCTATAGGCAATTAAGTTACTTATAGATCTGTTTGGTTCCTTGAAGGCCTGTTTGAAGCTTTACTGGAGTGGATGGAGTATACGTTTTTTACTCCAGCATTGTTTTAGCCTCTCTACTAAGATGTGACCCCTATGGAGTCTCCACTGAATGCCTTAGAGTGTCACCATTGAATCTCCACTGTGCCTAGCCAGAATGCAAATATCTCCCAGCCCTGTGTGAACCATACATATTGTTCAGTCAACTTTTTGTTCATTTTACCTACACTTGTGGAGCTTCGTCCTCTACATGTGTGGAGCCTAGTTCTCAGTAAAGTCTCAGGGGGACTCTTGTAGTCCAGGGGCTGTTTCTCTACATAGTTTCTTCTACCTCACAACTTGATAGTTTGTCCCAAAACTTCCAGCTACCTCAGACTCCTAGGACAGTGATCTCTGTGTCCTAAATATTTTTGCTTGGTAGAGGATCTTGCCTTGATGTTGATGAAAACACAGTATCTGTAAAGCACAATAAAATGCAGTATATCTGTATAGGCTAATTAGGGTTCCATTGTCTTCTTGCTTTCATTGCTTCATTCAACAAGTCTACTGTCAGTCTGTTATTTCATTCTGGGCTGTGTCATTTCTCTTTGACCACTCTTTAAATTTCTTTGTCTTTAATGTTGTTCAATTTCAATAAAATGTGTCTAGCTAGGTCTATATTTATTTTTATTCACCCTCCTTGAGATAGGCTGTATTTCTTTTGTCTTTATGTTTTTTTCTGTAAAAAATGTCCTCAGCTGTTATTTCTTCAAATGTTGTCGGTCCTCTTTGTTTCCTATCCTCTCTTAAGAATTCTATTATTTGTACATTAGATCTTCTCATCCTATTCTCCATATATCTTAACATCTCTTTTGTACCATCCATCTCTTAATATTTTATAGCTGTATTCTTATTAATGTTTTAATTTTTTTTTTTTAATATATCTTTATTGATTTCAGAGAGAGGGAAGGAGAGGGAGAGAGAGATAGAAACATCAATGATGAGAGAGTCATTGATCAGCTGCAGCCCACAACCCGGGCATGTGCCCTGACCAGGAATCGAACCCCGATCGTCTGGAGCCTAGGTCGACACTCAACTGCACCGCTGAGCCACGCCCGGCCAGGCCAATTTTTTAATATTTATCTTACATTTCACTAATTCTTTTTTTGGTTCCAACTTATTTTCTGTTTCACATACCCATTAAAAAATTTTTTTTTAATTAGTATTTTTTTTAAGTTGATATTTTGAACTTCTACTTGGTTCTTTTTGAAACTTACTTGGTTATTTTTGATAGTCTCTTGTTGGCTCATTTTTGTGATGTGTATCTTCTATTACTTTATTATATATTTCCTCTCTTATATTTGTTACCTGGAAATTACAACATCTCAATTACTTAATAGCTATATCTCTTCAGTGTTATTTATTCTGACTCAGAGTGGCTTGTTACTTTGTGTATTTGGTAATCTTTGATTATCACCTTATTTTTGGTTGATCGTCTGTGGCATTCTGAAAATCTAAATTGGGAATGCCTTCATCAAAATAAAATTTTTGTTTGCTTCCTTTGGGAGCCAAATGATACTACTGACCTGGGACCATTTTAACCCCCTTTAGTGTACTTAATTAATGAAGAGTCTCAGGAAACACATTAAATAAATATAACAATAAAAACAATTAAATAGCAACACAAAACAGTATATTAAGAAAAATAGTTCTGAAAATAGAGGCTACAGAAATTAAGAGAATGAAGAGATCAATGTACGTTAAGGTAGCTGGCAGACATGCCATGAGGTGATATATAAGTTAATTTGGGTGGCGGGGGAGGGTATTTGAAAAGAGCAATAAGAATGAGGAGACTGGATATTGTGATATTATTGTGAAACGGGAACGTATTGTCTACAGCAGAGCATTTGCTTAGGGGAGTAGCTAGAGATGATGCTAGAGAGGTAGGAGAGCATAAATTGTAGAAAAACTTAAAATCTCTGTAGACCTTGAGCTCCATATAGACATGGACGACGCATATCTTGTTCACCATTATAACTCTAGTACCTACCAGAGTGCCTGGCGCATAGTCTATATTCAACACAATTCTGTTGAACTGATTAATGGCATGGACGAAGACACTTTGAAATGTTGAAGCTTTATCTGGAGACTGATGGGGATTCACTGGAGGTTTTGGAGTATGAAAATGTCATGTCATGTTATAAAAAGTGTTTTATAAAGACTATTTTCAAGGCAATGGGCAGAATAGATGGGAGTGGGTAAAGGCTGGGTGTAGGGAGAAGCATGTAATCATCTTTTGGGAAAGAAGGGTCAATAGTGGGCTGAGGATAGTGGGAAGGAAGACTTGTTTTGAGACTGAAGCAACTGTCAAATTTTTCTTACCTAGAAGATAGTAAGAGGGGTATTATCAAGACGAACGAATAATGTGTTAATTTTTGTAGTTGGTGGTTGAATTTGAAAATTTCTCCTCTCATTACTTACCTTTTTCCTAGTGTTTCCTTTCCTGCATGATCATTGGGCTTTCTTCTGTGATGCTCGATCACCCACCAATGATTGTTTTCTAGAGCTACTATGTTCATCTATACCCTGAATATTTCCAATTTGTCAGACCTATTAGACAGTTCCCATCATATCAGAATAGATTTGGGAGGTGCCTACACAGACAGTCACTGAAACCTCTCTTGTGAGAGTGTACAGAGTAATAGAAGACAGGGAAGGAAGCGAGGGTGAGTCCCTGGCGCTGGAATTCTTCACCAGGCCTAGAGGTCTAAGACACCACACCTGTCCCCAAAGCTTAGAGTCCCACTTCTGCATCTGGTGGCTTTTATCATGTTGCTTACTAGCATCAGGCTCTAGTTGATAAACCTCCAGGGCATCAGAGATTGTTCTTGTATTTTCTCGTTTTTACCGTTAAAACAGAAAAAGTAGGTGTGCGTAGAGCGTTCGCCCTACCGTCTAGCCCAGCCCAGCACTCATACTTCAGGGATGGTGCAATGAATCAAGTGTGTCTACAGTGGTGACTTTAAACTGGCGGGCCGCAGAAATCTTTGTAGCAAGTGATACCTGACTGTTTAGTCAGGGGCACTGACCTCTTTCCCTTAGATTGTCAGATTTAAAATGACAACAGCCAACACAACAATAGCTGTCTGGTGTGATTGAATCAAAATTATACCTTTTTTTTTTTTTT